TTTTCTAATGTTATTTGAACTATGCAAGATATGCTCCTAACTGGATAGATATGCAAAACAATGGGTCTCAGTACATAGAGAGAGAATTCTCTCAGTACTTCTACCAGAGAGAATTTTTTTTTTTTTTAGGTTATTTAAGTAATTCATTCACTAAACATCAGTACCTATGATAGCAAGTAATTGTGCTTTGGTGTTTGTTTGGAAGATACAACAATAGAAATGACATGGTTAAAGTCCAGGAAGTTATAGAGGTAAGAGTGATCATCTCTGCTTTTGAAGGGTTATCAGGGAAGACTTCAGAGGAGGAGATGACACATGATTAGGTACTTGGAAGACCCAAACCCCATGTGGTTGAAAGTAGGTTTGTGTTCCAGGGAGTATATGCATAGACAGAGTTGTAGAGAACAGCGATACATGTTTGTGTGTGTGTGTGGGGGGGGGGGGGGGGAATATCCAAAAAACAGCTGTTATAAATATAAACAGAGATTTGAAGGAAAAGATAAATAAGGAGATAAGGAGAAAATTGAAGATATAAAAAAAGAAGTAATTGGAACTTCTAGAACTGAAATATGTATTTGAGATAAAAAATTTACTACTGGATGGGCTTAAGTACAAATCAGAGGAATAAAAGGAAGTATAAGAGTTTATTATGGACAATTTTATGCCAATAATTTTGACAATTTAGAAGTAATAGACAAATTCTTTGAAAGTCACAAATCATCAAAACTGGCCGAAGAAGTAGAAAATATAAATAGCTCCATATTTACTAAAGAAATAGAATTTCTACTTTAAATCCTTTCTACAAATAAAATTCCTGATCCACAAACAAGAAAAACCCTAATTCAAATGACTTTCCTGATGAGTTCCATCAGATACATAAGGAAGAAATCACCAGTCCTACACAAACTCTTTCCAGCACTTTCTAGTTCTTATGAGGCCAGTTTTACCCCAGTACCAAAACTGGACAGAGAGACATGATTAGAAGAGTATAAAGCAATATCCATCATGAACTCAGATGTAAAAATTGTTAATAAAATACTAAAATTGAATTCTACAACCTATATATATAAAATGCTAATATGCTAAATGACCCCTCCAGAGTTCAACTGGGAGACCAGGAGTTTGATCGCTCTCTATGATTTGCGCTGACCACCAGAGAGCAGCTAGGAATGAAGGGAGGCCCAGGTCAGCAGCTGGCAGTTAGGGAAGGGAGGCCCCAGCCAGCAGCTGGAAGGCCCTGATCACCGGCAGGCTTAGGGACTCTACCCGTGCATGAATTTTGTCCACCTGGCCTCTAGTATATTATAAAGAATAGTACATCATAATCAAATGTGTTAATCCTAGAATACAACTATAAACCTACTTTTGCTCCACCCTGTATGTGGTCCTCGAAACAGCAAAATAATCTATGACAGAAAACAAATCAGTGGTTGCTTAGGGTGAAGGATTAACTGCAAATATGCACCTGGCATTTTTGGATTATGGAAATCTTATACATTTGATTTTTTGTGGTAAATACATAGATTGTACATTTGTCAAAGTTCAGCATACTATACTTTTTACATGGGTATATTTTATAATATGTAAATTACACCTCAATAGCATTTCCTTTATGGCACAGCCTTCTCTGACTGTTTTCCCCTTTTTCCCCCCTTCTTCCTTAAATTTAGGCATCTCTAAATTTATCATAGTATTTTTGTCTTCTTTTCTTTTTTCACTTATCTCCTTGTGTTTTACTGGGCTGTACACTCTTATTCATCTTTGTTTACACTATTCCACCTTGCTCCTTGTAACCTTTCAATAAGTTTGTTAAACTGAGTTGGTTTTAATGCAAAGAAAGAGTTATCAGTTATTGCTATTATAGTTCTGAAGTCTGAAAAGAATCACAGGCCTAGATATTAGCAAAACAAGGCTATAAGTCAGCTAAGAATTAATATTAGGCATCTTTAGGGCAATCCCATTTTATACTCATTGCACCGGGTGGAAGGTGGAGGATGAGTACTCCTGGGCCCTGTGGGAAGTTGGCTTTAAAGCAAGGCGCTGTATGCCAGTTGTAAAGCCCCAGAGGGTGTAGGTAACTAGATTAAATGACAATGTTTTTTTTATTTCAGAATGAATGAAAATCTGGTTAAATTAAATGAATGTTGTGGTAAAAGTTACCATGGATACCATTAATCCAATCCCTTATTACACAGACCCAGAGAGGATAAAAACTTGCCCAGAGCCACACAGCAAATGATAGGGTTAAAACCGGAACCTAGTCCCCGTACCCAATATTCTGTACAGTGGAGAACTAGCTGCCTGTGGGAATTCTAATGAGTGGCCCCATATACAGAAACTCTCATTAGGCTGGGACTTAGAGTTAAGCATACAGGATAGATAAAAGGTCAAGGGCAGGAGTCAGCTGTCATTTGCAAGATGGAGCCATGGGTAGGGGGAAGAGTTGATTTATATGTTCCTGATTATGTTCTTGTTTATTTTCCACGAAGAAGTCTGATTTAATCTCCAATTGAAACCTGTTTTGTGCACTTGTCGATAGATTTTCCAAAGTTAGTATATATTGTAGCTTGTTGAAGAGAAGTCAGTACATACCCCAGAACATTGATGAATTCTTAGTTGAGTGGATCTTCCTCTCTAAAACCTTCCCTTTTTTCACTATTCCCTGTTGTGTGTAAATTTATTGTGGATAGAGGGTGGCAACAGTTTCTATTTTGCATTTCACTGGTTTTTGAATTTCATTTTTTAAGGACAATATGAAGGCAGTTTTTATAATTAAAGTGAGTTTAAGCGGTCATTTTGAATTTTAATGATGAAGGACATTGAGTTACAAAAGGCAGCTTTGAAAGCTACAGCAAAGCTTGCTCCTTAGATGAATCCTTTGAATGAAAGAATAATAGCCTGGACGGTGATGATGAAGAAATGGGAACTGCTGCTATTTAATGTATTCTCCACTCTCAATATATGGATGCAGCCTCCAAATTTTACAAAGGAAATAATCATCAGCACAGCATCTCTGCTCTCCTATGGATTGATCTTTTTTGTAAAGCAGCCTCTTGGGTTTTCTCAGTAAAAGTATTTTATTTTCAAATATATATCTCTAAATACTTACTCCTGGTAGGCCTGAGAAAATGTAGATTACTTCATGTCTCTTCAAAACTCCTTTCAGAGAAAAGAGTCAGGCTCAATTTGTGTTTTTGAGATAGAGAGGAAGAGTATATAGGAGGAAAGAGGAAATCTCAACTTTGCTTTAGGGGAGAAAAAAGTCTTTCAATCCTTTGTTGACTCGCAGCTTCTGCATTAGTCATATGTCCCTTCCTCCTGGGCATAGGTGGGCCAAAGGAATAACAGCCATGTGCTGTTTTGTAAAGGAGCAGTGCAAAGAGAAGAAAATAGCAGGTAAAGAAAAATGTAGGGCTCCCCAGCCCCAGTCCCACCCTTGGGTTTTTTGTTTTATTTTTAGATCAACCAATGGTTTCAGGATATTTGGCCTCCTCTTGCTTTTTTACTTTACCATTTTTGATGCTAGTAGTTAAATTTAAAAAAATAAAAAAAATAATAAAAAAACAGTACTGAATTCTTTGCCCTATTCATGAGATAGTGTTCAAAATCCAAAATTTTTAAATGTTAAAATGAAAGTCAACTACAGTGGGTAGCTAGTAGACACAGTGAATACTGATTTTGGAATGAAAAAATTCCCTGTAACTATTATACTTGGATCCAAAATGGTAGGGGGAAAGGGAAAGGCTGTGAGTTAACTGACAATGAAGAGCTTAATAGAAAAAAACAAAATGTGGGAGCGCTCAGTAATGAGTAACTCACTGAATAGGCAAAGGTCAAGGTTGTATACCAGCTTAACAAAGAGGAGGATTGAGGGCTTCAGAAGATAGGTTTTACCCTGGCCAGTGTGGCTCAGTTGGCTGGACTGCCTCCCGTGCTCCAAAGGGTTGCTGGTTGGATTCCCCAGTAGGGGGCATGCAGGAGTGGCTGATGGATGTTCTGTTTTCTCTTGGATGCTTCTGTTTCTCCCTTTTCCTTCCTCTTTCTCTAAAAATCAATTTAAATGTTTTTTTAAATCAATAAAGAATATATAAACAGAATATGGGAAGTTTGATGATGCTTGTTTATACAGTTTTTTTTGGAATATCCCTATTCCCCAAGGTCAGTGACTTCCCTGACTGGACACCTGCAGTGGTGGTGGGGGGTCGCTGACTCTCAAAGCTCTGCTATGGTCAGTAAAGGAAGTTCAGGTAAAAATATCTTCCTGCTTTTGTTTTAGGTTTTTGGTCCCTTCACTGATCTGTAATAATAAAAGGGTAATATGCTAATTAGACCGGGCTTCTGGAGGGAAGCCAGCCCGGTCCCTGGTGTCTGTGGATGGCCCAGGGGAAGCCAGCCTGGTCCTGGGTGCTGGAGGGAAGACAGTGCCTGCAGCTGGGGAAAGAGAGGTCTACTCTTACATAAATTTTCATGCATTGGGCCTCTAGTTTTCTTATATTTATAGTTTCATAGTTTTCAAAGCATTTTATTGATTTTGTACAGAGAGGAAGGGAGAGAGTTAGAAACATCGATGAGAGAGAGTCATTGATCAGCTGCCTCTTGCACACCTCCTACTGGGGGTATGCCCGCAACCAAGGTACATGCCCTTGACCGGAATCGAACCCAGGACCCTTCAGTCCCCAAGCCGATGCTCTATCCATTGAGCCAAACCGGTTTCGGCTTCAAAACATTTTCACATATCTCATAGAATTCTGTTTTTGGGTAGATAGGGCAAATACTATTGTCCCCATTTTATGGGTACGAAAACTGAGGTTAAGAGAGGTTAAGTATTTTGTTCAGAGCCACACAAGTAATAATGATCCAAGGTACAAGGTTAAGGTATTCAGGTTTCTCACTATACCTTTGAAGTTCATTTTCAGTACTAAAAAATTAAATATTTATTGTCAATCTATAAGTGCTTTTAAAGATGTCAAAGATTAAGTAACATTTTATTTATTTCATAGGAGAAGATGGTGTAAACTGGTTCATCAGTGACAAAGATGTTGAGGTAAAATCAAATTGTTTTTGATGTTATGAATGATAGATTAATAGTTTTTTGATTCCTAATTTTCTTTCAGTTCATTATGATAACTTAATAAATCTTTTAAAAATAGCAACAACCTGAGTATCTTGTAAGAAAAAGTTTGATTACAATTTATGGGTAATTGAATTTTGGGAGGCGTGGTTAAGCCTTGATTTTTGTCAGTCACTTAATTACTGTAATGAGTTAGTTCCCATTCCTTTCTGTTTCTTCTCTGTGGTGGTTAGTCCCTCTCACCTCAGATTGCCTGGTACCATTGAAAATCAACACCGGAAATAACTGCTTCTTCAGTGTAAGGAAATGGTTAGGCTATATTTAGGATGTGGCAGGTGTTTATTAGCCTTAATTGTGGCAGATGGCTAGAAAAGGATAATTTTACAAGTTGGTAAAAGAGAAGTTTTAAGAGATAATTAGGTTATGACATCTTGGAGTCTAACTTGGCCAATTCAGCAAAATACCAAGTAAAAGATTAAAGTTTTTTTCAAAGATGGAATTCTACCAAACAAGATAAAAACATGGTTGGCATTTACATATTCCTCTCTAGATATCCATATGATGTGCTTTGATAACATTTTCTTGAAAATACTAGCTTTTGGCTAGAATATGGAACAGCTAGCTAGCATTGGGTCATTGTAGGTAGAATGGATTTTCTAAAGGACTCTGGTGGGAGGGAGTTAATATCATTCTCTCTTAGGAATTATAATTCAGTTTATAGGCAGTAACCCTAGGCTATTCATTAGAAGGAATGTATTCATTAGCTATATAGTTTTATAACTTTATAAGAAAGAAATTCATTTAAAAAAAAAAAAGCACCATTCCCTAACTAAAAACTTAAGCAACTTCACATTCAGAAAAATGTGATATATATTCAGATATAGAAGTCAGCAATATATTTGACTTTGAATGCCACCAGCTTGTCTGATGCACACCAGTGCCCTGGATAGGCCTGAACTGTAAGCAGAGAAAGATACAGAAGAAATGGAACCATTTGGAGAATGTAAAAGAATGGAGGGAAGGGGCAGACAAAAAAAGTAGAGTTGTCTTTGTAGCACACCTTTATGTTTTTATAACTCCTTTTAAGAATACAGTGTTCCATGTTGCTGGGTTCTAGATTGAACTGACTGACCTATTAACTCTCTTGAACAGTATGAAATAATGTTTTTTAATTCTTTATTTCCCCCCTCCCCTTAGGCCCAGATATGTAATAATAGATCATCTGGAAGATGGACCCACCGATATTACACAGCAAACAAAAACGTCACCTGTAGAAATTGTGACAAATGTGGCCATTTGTCAAAAAATTGCCCTTTTCCACAAGTATGTGAAATATGTAATGTTTCTTTCTACCTTATTAAAATCAAAATCTTAGGATTGAAACCCTATAACCTTACAATTTAAATCTTGGGTAATATATGTGTTAAATTTCTTGTTAATGTTTAATGCAGGCAATAGCCTAGAGTAATAGTAGGAAAAGAACAATAAACTTGGTCAGAAAAATCTGGACTCCATTTCAGCTTCCCATCAACAGTTGGACAACTTTAGGCAAATTCTTTCATTCTCTGCGCCTGTTTTCTTATCTGTAAAACAAGAAGATTGAATCAGATGATTCCTGAGACCCTTTTCACTTCTAAACCTTCTACTTTCTGAGACAACTATTTCACCATGAGAGAATTTTCCTTGTTAGAAGATCATAATTTTAAGCATTGATAGATGTTTACTGATTAAACAGATACATCAACCTTTGGAAAAAACACAGAATTAAAGATCTTAGATGTTCCCTGACACATACTAAGCCTTTAACAACCATTTCTATTATCTACTCCCTCTTCCAAATGATTTTCATATTTCTGAGACAGCTCTCATGCTTCTCCTTTGTCTTTGCTTCTCTAGGCAGAGCTCTTTCTTCCTGCTCCCCCAAGGACTTAGGTTCCAGGTCCTCATCTTCCTACTTTTCCTCTACACATTCTACTTTGCCAATGTTCCTACAAGACAAGGCATAATAAACAGATGCCACCTGATAGCACATGCAGATTAATATGCCGTTTTGGCAACCAGAGGATACAGATAGCTTGTGTTAAAGTTCTGAATTCAGACTTTTTGTTTTACTTTATAATTAGGCTCCAGATTTGATCATTAGAAATTACTTTTTTGGCCGAAACCGGTTTGGCTCAGTGGATAGAGCGTCGGCCTGCGGACTGAAAGGTTCCAGGTTCGATTCCGGTCAAGGGCATGTACATTGGTTGCGGGCATATCCCCAGTGGGGGGCGTGCAAGAGGCAGCTCATCAATGATTCTCTCTCATAGATGTTTCTAACTCTCTATTCCTTTCTCTTTCTCTCTGTAAAAACTCAATAAAATATATATTTTTTAAAAAGAAGTTACTTTTTTGGAATTATACAGAAAAAGAAAAATTAATCTGCTGTTTAAGACTGAGTATTTTACTAAAGACATTTTCTGTTTATCTGCCACATAGAAACTCCGTGCCTGCTGCCTCTGCTCCGAGAGAGGACACCTCCAGTATGCCTGCCCAGCTCGCTTTTGCTTCGACTGTGCTTTGCCTATGTCTTCTACTCACAGATGTCATGGAAGACCTTCCTGGAAAAAACGATGTGACCGATGTGATATGCTAGGCCACTATGCTGATGTAAGTATCCTGCTTATAACTAATTTGTCAGGCTTTGGGGACAGTGTGCCATTTTGTGACTCTCTGTCAGCCTACCTAAAAGAATGTAAGAATGTTTACTCTGTACTATATATAATGATAGTCACGGCCCTTTGGCCTCTAATCATGTAAAGCAGTGCTCTAATGTATCAGGATAAGGAAGCTACGGAATGGTTCATCGGAAGGCAGAATCAACAAATATTGTAAAACCCCGCTAGCCCCTTTTGCTTAATGTGCTTGCTAAATAAAACTTGAAATTAAAGAGGTATATAATGAATAACATGTCAAATTTATGTACCTAGTCATGGTTAGGTGGATGAAAATATATACACACTTAGCAGTTGTGTACAGAGGTCCATATGAAATCTGGTTTGATGCTGCTTATTGATGGTTCTAGCTGGTAGAATAGTCTTATGCAAGAAGGACAAGCCACTAGTACTTTGAATCTGCTTGTTTAGTTTGTTTTTTTCCTTCCTTCCATCCATCCTTCCTTCCTTCCTTCCTTCCTTCCTTCCTTCCTTCCTTCCTTCCTTCCTTCCTTCCTTCCTTCCTTCCTTCCTTCCTTCCATATATATGTATGTATGTATATATATATATATATATATATATATATATATATATATATATAAACATCAATGATGAGAGAGAACCATTGATCGGCTGCTTCCTGCACTGGGAATTGAGCCCACAACCTGGGCATGTGCCCTGAATAGGAACCAAACCATGACCTCCTGGTTCATAGGTCAAGGCTCAACCACTGAGCCAGGCCAGTTGTGCTTAAAAGTATCTTTTTATACAAATAAAAATAGGATTGCTGTCCTTCACAGGGACTTACAACTTGGTTGTTTGATGTTTTTTCCACTTTCGAAAATTTGTGAATGCTCACAAAGATCTACCTTTCTGCTGGCTAACTTTTATTCCATTGTATAGATGTACTAATTGACTCAGCCAATTAATACATTTAGATTAATATTATTACCTATTTATATTATTACTTTGCAATATCAGCACCGATGGGGTGGCTCAGTTAGTTGGAGCATTGTCCAATACACCAAAAGGTTGCAGGTTCATTTTCTGGTCAAGGCACATACCTAGGTTTTGAGTTCGATTCCCAGTCAGGATGCATATAAAAAGGCAACCTATCAATGTTTCTCTCTCCCCCCTAAAATAAATAAAATATATCGTCAAGTAAGGATTTTTTTTTTTCTTAATTATGCCAAATCAGACAAGGAGAAAATGTGGTATTGTTTTAATTTGTGTTTCTTAGGCTACTAGTGATGTTGAATATAATTCTCAAGACTAGAGAATATCCTATAATAAAAGCCTAATCTGCAAATCGACCAAACAGGGGAACGACCAGTGGAATGACCGGTGAAACGACCGGTCACTATGATGCACACTGTGACCACCAGGGGGCAGACGCCCAACGCAGGAGCTGCCCCCGCCCGCAGGCCCCAGGCCAGCCAAGGCAGGCGCCGGTGGGGCCCCCAGAGAGCCCCGCCAGTTGCCCCACAGATTGGCCCTGATCGCCATCCAGGCCTCTAATATAGAACATAAAGATAGAAGTTGTCATTTCATTTCAAAGTAGTTTAAACTTTTTTTCCAATATTTACTAAATTAGTAAATCCTAAGTTGTTTTATACTATTGTTCTCTGCAATCAGAGGCCAAATATAATTTTCTTAGCAAAATTCTCCTATTCGGCAGGTATGTTTAATAGCATTTTTTTTTTTTTTTTTACTCTTTTCTTCCAAAGAGTTCTTACAGATACAGTTTTATTTGCCTGTTGTGACGGAATGGGCTCTGATATTATTATAAACATTTTTTTTACTAAGTATTTTAGTACAGACCAGTTAAGAATGATTTGTATAATCAGCTGTGAATTAAATCTATAGCCCATTCTGCTTAATGTCTTAATTTTGGCCTCTAATGTATGTTAAACTCTTTATCTAAAATGGCCTTGAGGATTAATAACCCCAGAGAATATAAGTTTTTACGATAGTGTTAGGCTGTGGCCGACTTGAGAGATGGCTACATCCTTTCCTTTAAGTTTTCTAAGACCAACTGTCATGTTTTTTTTGGTAATTACATGCTGAAGGTTCCGGACCTAATTGATCTTTTCCCAATATGCTCAACTGATATAGCATTCCCTTGTGGCCAATTCAAACCTGGATCCCACTGCTCCTTCTGAAGAAGCTTAGAGTTTTTCCACTGTCCTGGAAGCTGTTCATGAAGATTTACTTAGAAGCAGAGTTATTCTGGACCCCGGTTCTTAGGACTATTTAGCCAGTCCCATCCATGCTTTAAATTCTTGAAACGCCTGGCATTCCACAGAAAATATTCTCCTGCAACCCTCTCAAATGCTTCCTGCTCACTCTTTCTTGACTCACATTCCTCTAATTAGGTTGATTGGTCAGGATAAACCTCTTTCTCACTTGCCATGGCTGCCTCTACTCTTCTCTCAGAGAGAGAGAGAGAGAGAGAGAGAAACATCAGTGATGAGAAAGAATCATTGATCAACTGTCTCCTGCACGCCTCACCTGGGGATTGAGCCCACAACCTGGGCATGTGCCCTTGACCAAAATTGAACTCAGAACCCTTCAGTTCTCAGGCTGATGCTCTATCCACTGAGCCAAACCAGCTATGGCATTACTCGAAATAGCTTTGATTTATTTAAGGTTCATACCATCTGAGGATACTGTCCTCCACCCTTTGTCATTTTCATCTTCCCTCCTTCTGATTTTCAGCTAATTCACAAAGGATTTCTGAAGCCCTGGGTTAGATGCCCTAACCTCCTATAAATTAAGGAAGTCAAGAAACTTTCATTTTTATTGTATATATCCTTGTAGCCACACCTCAGACCTCTCTGCAATACCAGTGTACCAGTTATATGTGCATGGAGAATTTATAATGAAAACTGACGAGTTATATTCATGTTCTTGCTATAATGAAGAATATGAATTTTCTGGCCCACTGGTGTAGGTCAGTGGTTGAATGTAGACCTATGAACCAAGAAGTCACAGTTCGATTCCCAGTCATGGAAATTGTCCAGGTTGTGGACTCGATCCCCAATAAGAGGCTTGCAGGAGGCAACTGTTCAATGATTCTCTCTCATCATTGATGTTTCTATCTCTCTTTCCCTCTCCTTTCCTTTCTGTGAAATCAATAATAATATATATTTTTAAAAATAGAAATGATTATTGAGTATGAAGAAAATATTAGTCCATTAAAAGAGAAATGCATAAATTACATTATAGCACATGAAGTATAATCTATTTTATGTAAATTCAAGTATTTATATATGTATATAGATTTGCATAGAAAAAAGTTAGGAATGATGTATTCCAAAATATTTACTGTAGTTATGGTTTGTTATAAGAAAGAAAGAGGAAAGGCAAGGAAGGGAGCTGGGGCTGTTATTGTTTAAACATTGTGGAAAAGAAAGTAAATTGGAGTGTGGAATATTTTATTTTTTATCAGTGATCAAGATATTTTAGGTTTTTTTTAATTCCAAAATTGAACTAGAAAATATGAGATCATACCCATTTTTGAACAACTAAAAACATTACTGAGTAGACCTTACTTGAATAAGAAAATAGATATATTGCATATAGTGGATGCTCAGTGATGTTTCTGAAATTGTTTTATATGCAAAGAAAGTGGCCACAGCAGCTATATCATAACAAAATCTTTATTTTTATTTGTCCTTTTGGGTTTTTTTTTTCTCACTTCTTATCAATAGCTCACTTAAACTGTGAGGTTTTTTGCTTTCTCAAGTTTGGCTACATCCATGAGTTGACCATTGCCGAATAGATTTCACCTATTTCAGCTACTTTGTTGAATTTCCCCATGATCATTTTTTGCGTGTATATATAGAGTGCCAAATTGACATCATCACAGCAACAATATATACAACTAAGTGCTTGCTATGTGTCAGTTGTCATTCTAAGACTTCATACTTACCAACTCTTTACCTGTTGCAACAGCCCTTTTAAAGGTACTGCTGTCCCCACTTATCAGTGAAGAACAGGCATAGAGATGCATAACTTGCCCAAGATAATAAAGAGCAGAGCCAGGAATTTGAATCCAACCATTTTGACTCTAGAATTACCGATTTCACCCGCTACATTATCATGCTTCATTTACTGGCCTTCATATTGTTTTACTTTATAATACCTTTAACAACTGGCAGGTATACTACAAGCATTAGCAACTATTTATAAAATTAATTTATGTTAGTAGTCTAGAATTACAATTAAGATGTCTAGAATTAAAATAAAAAAAGATGTCTAGAATCACAATCAAGATGTCTCCAAAAATATTTGTGATTCTCTAGTGTGAAAAAAAAATGTTTTAATGAAAATACGATTGCTTAAGGTAATCCAGTATAATGTGTATAATCTGTTTTATTTTTGGGTTGAGTCTTTTGATACAATTTTCTATAAAATATGGATTATTATGTTTTCAAATAAAATGGAAATGTAACCTACTATTGACAAACTTTATGCCCTCATAACTGCACTTAAGTTAGGAGGAGAATATCAAAGAGAAATATCTTTAAGCAAAAAATTAGGCTTGTCAGTTTCCCTGATTACAGAGGATTAAGAGTAGAGGGATTGATTAAAATTTGACCTTGGATGGAAAGATGATTTTATGAAGTCTGATTCATTTTGGAGGCAGCTTAGCGATAGAGACCAATGCATGGCTTTCCATACTGATTGGTGAGGGGAAAAATTAGGTGGATTCTGTACACACTGCCACATATATCTGTTGTATTTTTTTGACTCCTCTTACCATGAATGACACATTTTTATCTAATATAAATATAACAAGCACTATTAAAATAGTAATCTATCTTGAATTTTAATTCCTATGATTGACTGAAGGCTAATGCCCAAATCTTTAAAATCTTCATTATACGATAAATTTTATTTCACATATATTCAATGTACATGTATCATAGCCTGTGTAAATATTTTGTCTCTGAGGAATAGTGTATATATACAATGACTACCAAAATAACTGGGCAATCAGATGACTTGAAAGCTGTAATTTATAAAGAGCCTGCTGACGAGATCCAGAATAGGGCATTCTTTTTAATGAAGGCACCTAACATTACATTAATGTACATATGGGAAAGTTAGGGTGGTTGAGTTCAGAAGCTGGGATGCTTTTCTTCCCATATCTTTTCATTTGACAAATTTTAAACTAAATTATCCTCTCTATTCTTTTATTTATGTTATTCACCATCCATGAATATTGCTTGTTTTATTAAATCTTTTGTTTTGCTGCAGTGACTTGAGGGGGCCAGCTCCTAACAGCAGAGGCTTTGACAAAGCACCAGAGGATTCTGTTAAAAAGTTGTGTTTCGTAATTGTAGTTGTCGTGTCAGCGCCTAACTGACTTGGAGCTGAAGGATTTTTGTGAGATGAGTAGCTGTGCCAGCAGGGACCCAAGTCTCCTGGGCTGGCCGCGCTCTCATTAAGATTTGCCGCTAGCAGTGGCGGTGTTCAGCATGTATGTGACGTGCATTCTGTTATTGTATGCTTGGCTTGTCAGCCTGCAGCTTTCTGACACTCACTTATGTCACTCTTTATTCAGAGAGGAAGAAGCTTTTGATAATTTGACAAGACAAGCTCTTAAACGATCTAGGTCATGGCCTTCACTGTCTGTGATTGTGAACATATTTCCTGAAAGCCCTGTCACTCATCACAGCTACATTTTCTCCCGGGGAGCCGCAGGCCTGTCCTGGTCTCCTGTCAGCTCATACATTTTGGTTATTCATATACCAAATACAGTTCTGGGGTGGGTTTTTTTTTTGTTGTTTTTTTTTTTTTCTTCCCTTTTGCAAATGCTAGCATGTTAGTAAGGCTAATCCTTTCTCCTGTGCTGTGTTCCCAGCAGGGCTGCGTTCAAGGGCTCTCTAGTACAAGGCAGACAACTGGCCAAGGGGAGCTGTGGAGGAGGAAAGGCCGCTTAGTGCTGTTTTTGTGTTTGCTCATTGTTGTGGAAATATGAGAACTGGTGGCAAGGGCCTTGTCTATTGAGAACTTGAGTCTTGGTCTGCTGTCAGGGGCTGTTTAAGATTGAGTGTTTTATTTTCTTTGATGTTCACATTTGAGAATAGGGAAGTGGGAATTAAATAACAGATGCACTAAGCCGTTGTTCTGGTAAAACAATAATTAGCACCTGATACAATTCAATGTGGGTGAAAATGCACAATATAAACTCTCAATTCATCTGGTGCGGCAAACTGTGTTGATTCGTCGTTGAATTTTATGAATAATAACACTCGGTTATTCATGTATGCTTTATTATACAAAATACAATAGAGGGGGAAACTAGTTGGGCAGAAGTTAGCAAACAATGTAGCACATTGCTAAAACAGATGTACAAGCACTCCGTGTGTGTTTCTGCGGTGAGGGTGAGCCTCGAGAAGGCCCTTTGGGTTGCCATCCAAGTGCCAGTGAGGTGAGATCACCAGGACAACCAGTAAATACAATTGTATTTTAAGAGTTTGTTGCATTTTCATCTTAGATGTGTTCTACAGCAGACTAGTCATTCATTTTAAACTTTTTAAATTAATTTTTTTTAAGTTCCAGTTGTAATAGTAATCCTCTTGCTGTAGAAGTTACTTCGGCTAAATTTTCCATGCAGGAAAATTTCCACACATACATATACATACACACATATGGATACTATAGCATTCTATTTGAATATATATATATACACACATATATATGTGTATATATGTGTGTGCATGCACAATGACTACAGAATGGTAAAAAGAAGTAGAAACCACAAGCAAGAAGATTAACATTTAAAAAATTAATTACTGATACAGTTATATGTCATATATTTAGAAATAAAGATGTATATTTTATATTGGCACCTATTTTGAAGTGAAAATATTCTACTTCTTTTTAACCTTACATAAAAATATGTTATATAGAAAATAGTAAAATGAAACATGCATGGGAATGCTGAGTAAAAGTGCTTCTGAGTTGGTCAAGGAGGATTTTTTAAAATTGCAATACTGTTGCCTAAGAAGAGAAAAGAAGTATAATGTCTCTCACTACTAATTTTTTATATTTGCCATCATCTTCATGTACTGAGCAATCAGATGATTGTTCAAAAACCAAGTAATTCTTTCTTTTATTACTAAATTGCTGCAACACAAGAAAAGGTCACATGGTAGAGTGGCACACTGCCAGTGACAACTCAGTGATTGCGATTTTTCAACCGTATTATTCTGAGGATACTGTGGTAATCAAGAACTACCCATAACTAATCTATAAATAACTGCTTGCTTATCTCTACAGTAATCCAACTCAAATTATATATCCCCAGCAAAAGCTTGTGATAGAAAGCAGAAAATGAATATTTAAAGAAATATTGTACATTAGATTTTTGTGTGTAAATAAGTTAATAAAAATAGTTATATATAACAATATGTATATATTCTTAAGAACTTTTGTAACCTATAGGTTTGTGGCTATTATTTACTACCTAACATGATCTTTGCCTTCTGAAGCTGCTTTCTACTTTTTAAAACTAGTTTTCTTTTTGATCAGTGTTGTTCACTCATAAATCACTGTGTATAAAGTGAATTTTTTTAGTCAGACGCTTTAGTTTGCATGAATTGCATTTAAATTGGAAATCTGACCACAGATAATTTTCCATACATTTCTGGAGAAAATTACATAGGAAAGTTAAGCTTAAAAAGCATAATGGATAAAATATTCAGCATAGCTGGAACATATCTACTCTTTTTTTTTGTCCAGTCATTTATGATGATATAATCAGAGATTTTGCCATTAAAGGTTATTTTCTGAATTATTATCATACCTACAATATTTTTAAATGATATGTATTCTCTTTGTTAGTTTTATCACTACCCTATAAAATAAATGACACAAGAATGACTAATCAGATAAAGAATTGTTTCAAAGGGTATGTCAAAAATTATAAAGATTTAAATCATTCTAATTTTAGGTATGCGTATATATATGTACATACACACTTTTAACAAAAGCTATAAGTTCACATTTACTTTAAGAATTGCCATTTACTTAGTGGTTTAATTTGCTAAAACCATTGCTATAATATAGTTATTTAAAAAACACTTTCTATCATCAACAGTTCTTTTTCTGAGAAGGTAAACCCATCAGTTCTTCATATAGACTTTGCTTAGGAAGAGTGTCTCTCCTTATCAGAGTCATAATTCAGGTATAAGGAAAGAAGATTTATATATGTATCCATAAGAAAATATCTCCTAATTTTTTGTTGTTGCTGCTGCTGTTTTTTATTTGTTTTGTTTTGTTGTTACCTATGCTGGTTTCAGAAAATCCATCTTTTATAAATTTATTGAAGTTTTTTTGTTTTTTTTTAAATTACATCTCTATAAATGTAAAGATGGAGAAGACTCAACTTTTAAGGGAAAAGACATAGACTTTAATTCTTGAGGTTTTGTTTGGCTTTGTTTTAATTCTCTTTTTACTCTGTTTCATTGAGGAGTGAAAGTTAGAAAGTGATTAGGCAAAAGATGGCAGCAGACATCAGAAATACCTTATGTAACCACAGTGAAGTCTTAAAGGCAGTTGTTATTGAATTGTTTTCTATCATACTACCAAGGTTCAAAATGTTCTTTAAAAAGGTGTACTTGGTGAGTTTCATTGATTTTAACCACTGTTGTTCATTTATCAGTTTAACCGAGTAATGGCTCTTAATCACATCTTAGTGCCCGGAACTTCTAACCCGAAAGAAAAAAAGAGAGAGAAAACTTTGTTACTGGCTTTCTGACAATGGCAGGGAGTGTGTTAAACCAGTGTAAAATTCAATTAAACTGTCTAGCCAGGTTTTTGAAGCTGAAATGCAGACCCTTTCTGTTAAGCTTCTTATTTTCCTGTGACCGACACCGGTGGATGCTGGGTTATGCCAAAACCAACAGGCTGTAAAGTACCTTGTTTCATGCTCCCAACTGATCAATATTTTTATTTTCCAGGCTTGCCCAGAAATCTGGAGGCAGTATCACCTAACGGTGAGTAGAAACACCTTTTTATTTTCCCCAAGACCTAGCCTATTTACCCTTCTCTGAACTGCCGACCATAAAATATAGACAAGCATCTTCTGCTGGAAGATAATAAACATCTGAAGAGTTTTTGCACTGAGAGAGCAATAATATAGTACTTTTTCTCTTCTCCCCTGCCCACTACTCTATCCTTTATCTTCCTGTTCTTAAAAGATTTTGATTGTGTTTTATTGCTCACATCGTTTAATGATTACATCATGGTATCTCTGTCTTTCTGGGTTAAATTCAAATTAAGGGGGGAAAAGTATATGCTAGGAACCATAAAAAAAAAAAATAGTAATCCCGTGTCTAATATATTGTATCATCTGCAGTCCACAAGCATACAGTCCACAATACCTTCCATTATCAATTTTCTGGCTTTACTGAAATATTTACATATATTTTTAATAAAGCTAGACAAAGCTTAGTGTATCTTTCATATAGAACAATTCAACTGTCATATGCTTAAGCCCCTCTTGACTTATTCAACATGTATAAATATCTGCTAATACTATTTGTTATTCAGTTCTTTGCTTTCCTTTTTATTGTGATTTTAGGCAGAAAACATTGTTATGGAATCAACTTACTAATGCTCAATATTATGAAGTCAGTTCATTTCTAATAGCCAGCTTAAATAATTCTGAGAATTTACCCAAACCCTGCTAGTCATTTCTTTTAATGTATTAAGTATGTTGTGCTGAGCAAGAGACAATAATAAAAATTACTTTTAATTTTAAAGCTATGCAATGTAATTAAAAGCTATTTTCTTAAAGATTAACATATTTAAAAGTTTTCTCTATGGAAGACAGGTAGTAAAAATAGAAAAGGCAAAGTTTTTACAAAACATGTCTTTTTACTGCTTTTTCATTTTCTTTATGAAATAAAAGGTAAATCAATAATCAGACTTCCACTACCAATATGTCTTACCACAAGCCCAAGAAGCAAGGAATAATATCGGTAGTTTGTTCCTACATTCTGTTATCACTGTTTAATTTACTTAAAGATTCTTAGTAGAAAGCTGTACTCACTCAGCTATCCCTCAATCCCAAATTGTGTTTTCTTAAAGTCTTCACTATAAAACTAATATATATATATATATATATATATATATATATATATTAGTTTTATATATATATATTCATTCACCTACACACCCATATATGTACATATATATTTTTATAGATGTAACTTATAGGTACAATATATCTATGCTTATGTATCATTTTTATCTTAACATACTGTGACAAAATCCTTATAGTTTAAACTTGATTGGAATTCAACCATATTATACTTTCAAGATCACAGTCACTCTTTGTATAGCATTTTTATCAATATTTTAATTAAGTAATAGTCTAATGGATTTGATATTGCCTTTCTTTTCCCTTTTCCCCTAACTTAGAGAATTCCAATCTTGAAAACCTGAAGTGATGATAGTACTATTTTAAAGTCACTCTTTTCATTATTTGCATCTATATTCTTATATAACTCTCATAGAAGATTAGAAATTGGTGTTTAGTATAACAAATATTTGAATATTTGTTTAATATTGTAGCTTTTAAAAAACAAATTTAAAAAGAATAATTAGGAAAAAAATAGTTAAACAAAATGAATTATCTTGGAAAGAATAACATTATATTCTATCTGTAGGTATAACAAAATCATTTTTGAAAAGTCTTATCTCAACCTAAAATATTGATTAATTTTCAAAATAATATTGGAGCAACTATCCCAATTCATAATTATCAAATCTAAACTAAAATTAGTAATAGTTTACTATGCAAGTATAAATGCAGAATTTGTATGTTCAGAAATATGTATACAAATATATCCATCTAAAATAAAATAGTTAAATAATATGTATATAGGTAATATCCAAATGTGTACAATTGGGCAATATTTAATCTTGAATAAAAGCAGAATGCATGGTGAGTTTAGTCATCTTCAGTTCTTTACTAGGCGATGGACTGCCATCTATTGACTCATAGTAGCCCTCACACTCGAATGTGGCATAAATCAGAGCAATGACCATGTAATGAAACCTACCCTGTTTCCCCGAAAATAAGACAGTGTCTTATATTAATTTTTTCTCTCAAAGTTGCGCTAGATCTTATTTTCAAGGGATGTTTTATCTTTCCATGCGCTAGGTCTTATTTTCGGAGGATGTCTTATTTTCGGGGAAACACAGTAGGTTAGAACTACAGTATATTGATTTAAACCAGTCTTCTTAAAACTCTGGAAATTTCTACACTTAATCATTGGTTAATTTCTTTTTCTAACCAAAGTATACATTTCTCACCCAAATGAACTGTGCTTTTTTGGGGAGAGAAGTTGATTAGTATATTCAGTTTGGAAATGTTTATTTGCATTTGAGGTCTTTTTGGTTGCTTTTTTCTGCTTTCTAATCAGGAAGACTATAAGGACATTTACACCTAAAGTTTAGCAAATACAATTTAAGATCTAACCAAGAATCACTTTCCTTAAAAGTATTTTTTGAGCCCAGTCAGTGTTGCTCAGTGGTTCAGCGACGACGCCGACCAGGAAGTCGCGGCACAGGCCAGGGCTGCGGGCTCAGTCCCCAGTGCGGGGCAGGCAGGAGGCAGCCAATCACTGATTCTCTCTCATCATTGATGTTTCTCCCTCTCTCTCCCTTTCCCTTCCTCTCTGAAATCAATTTTAAAAAATACTTTTAAAAAAGGAAAAAATATATATATTTTAAAGCTTAATAATACAGAGTATTATTTTTCAAACACTTGAAAAGGTGGTGAAGTTGATTGGTATAAGTAGGCTTGTGAAATTTCTTTGAACACAAAAGGAAACATGTTCACTGCTCAGTAATTTCATGAGAGATCAAATAAAGCATCCTTAACAACTTGTATATGAATAGAGTAGCTTTTTAACCCAACTTGACTAGACTTCACTAGATTAATAAAAACTAAGACCATCATTCTAAAGGGCACATGCTAATAAAACTCTAAAAACACTGCCTAAATATCTATTATATGTTTTAATAGCTACAAAATTGCCATATAATTTAAGGACTTTTAGATTATCACTTGGGAGACCTGCATGGGAAAAAGAAAAATATGATTTTTATTTCCCAAATAGTTTACATATTTACCTCCTTCAGAGTGTTTCGAAAGGTTTTTAAATCTTCAATCATATAGCACTGTTCTTGTATTTTAATTTGTTATATTTTCAAATTTTGGTAATGCCTGACTTTGAATATTCTTTTTTATTTTTTATTCTAAATAAAATCTCCCCCCTCCCCCCCACCTTTTAACTATTTAAGAAGGGAAGTCCCTTTCCCTACCCCCTGTCATTTCTAGACTCATTTATATTAAAAATCCTAGGCCAAAATGGCCACCAACAGAGTTTTACAACCAACAGAATCTTTAACTAATAGAGGCTATAATTTGACATGCCTTAGACATTTTTCATCTTGATTTTAATCTACTTTAAAAAGTAGCTAGGAGTTTGCTTCTTTGGGGGCGAATGTATTAAGAACCAAAAAGGACAATACATCTTTTATGTTTAATTTTGCCCTTGGATTTCTTTGTGTGCATTGTTAAAATGTGTTACAACTAAAAGTTTAAGCAGAAGGGAAGAATTACATTTTAAATGACTCTTTATATATAACATTTAAATGCCTAGAATTCACACTTCAAAAAGTAAAATACTTGCTGTCAGAGACATGGGGAGTACCTTCCTTTCAGCCTAGAAGAGGCCTGTGACCAGAGGTTACTAGCAGTTAATAGTAGTCTTACCTGAACTAGCTGAATGCCAAAGTGTATCTTATGGATCAAAATTTAAAATATCACTTAGTTTTGCCACTGAAGTCTTTCTCTCCTACCCTGGAAATATCAGTTTAGACATGTTTTCTGGGTTCTCACAGTATGGAAATGAGGTTTTTACTCTAAACGAGAATGTAACTCTCTAAAGCATCCTATGCCATACCACCCAGTAGGTAACCCTAAATATCAACAGATTGAAATTTAACTTGAGAAACAAGTTGTATGGTCCAAAAAAAAAGGAATAAGCAAGTGGAATTTGATGGTGAGGCTATAGCCACAAAAGTCTTTTTTCTGAAATTATTGTGATGTAAGATAGAGTGGGTAACAATATTCTAGTTGCCTAATACTAAAATGGAGTTTTTTTTAATAAGTTAAAATATGAAGTAAAGCATTTCAAGAAGTCTCCCTCAAGCCAGAATATTTTCTTTTCATGAAAAAAAGAAAATGGGCTCTTAATTGGAAAGATGTTGGGAATTCTAAATCTCTTTCTGAGAGCTCCTTGGCTACATAACAGAACTGCAGAGCCCAAGGATCTCATCTACATGGGCGATACCAAGTGATAGGTCACGTGTGTGTGTGTGTGTGTGTGTGTGTGTGTGTGTGTGTGTGTGTGTAAGAATATAGAACTGGTTACATATTGTATTTTAAAAGGTTAAGTAACTCCAAAATAGAACGAGAAGTAGGCCTCACTCTATTTTGGAATTATTTAAATCAACTTTTTCTTTGTACCATTTTTTGAGGCCCAGTATACAGATTATCCTAAAGTAACACTTATAAATTTATTTATTTTGATAGTTCACTTTGCCAACTTCCTCCAAAAAAATTGTAGTTTTTTCTTCCATATCTGACATCACTATTTCAATGTTTTGACTGTTTAAGTGTTGCTATTGAGATATTACATCTCTGTCACATTTTCAGAGATTTCGTTTTCATTAAAAATACCCTTAGTATTAAAATATTGCTGAGGTGAATGTAATTGTGCTCTGATGTTTTAGAAGGCACATGACTATTTTGTTGTACCTCAGGGCCATCTTTCCATTGTAGTACTACAAAATAAATCAGACTGCTTTATATTTAAAGTTACTTGGTGTCTGAATAAAAAGAATTTTCTGAGTAAGCACCAATAAATCATTTTCTAATACTCCATCTGTGATAACCGAGATAGAAAATACATTTGGA